TAATGTAATAAAATAAAATAAAAAATACTCTATTTTTATTTGATTATCTCACTTATTAAATTAAAGTTCTTTTTTAATTGTTTTACTTTTTATTTTTGAAAGACATTAAGGTTCTCCTTCAAAAGATCCGCAAATAAGTGTTATTTAATTCACAATTTATTCATCATCTCTCTTGAGCAATAATTATAGGATAATAATTAATTAGTGTATTATTTTTTATTGAACCCCAGAGTACACACCACAAAAATATAATTATTATTTTTACATCAGTGTGTTGGTGCAATTAATACCTTAATTAGTACTAAAATATAAACTATAATAATATTATATAAATATCCCTTATTTCAATCTCTAAACTGTAATTATTCAAAAATTAAAAAAAAAAAAATCAATGAAGGCCATTTATCTACCCCAGAAGTATTACATTAATTTTGAGAGAGCGCCACGTGTACCACTTTTAAAGTAGAAATGATAATACATTCTAAGGTCCTGCTGCCACACGCCAAATCACGAGTAAAATGATCGATCAGTCACACTCCTCTTTTATTTATTTATTTATTATTATTATTACTATTATTTTGCAGTAAGCTGGTCTGCGTTGGAGTCCTGGCACGCATTTATCCGAATTTATTTACGTAAATTGCGGAATTCATCAAATCAAATTCCTAAAGAGCTAATTACGTTGAGAAGTGTGTTGGAGGACACGGTACGTGTGGCTGAAGATGCTGAGCAATATCACGACGACATGATGGTAAAGATATGGATTGCCGAAATGGAGGATGTGCTTTATGATACTGATCTAATTTGGGAGATGGCGTATCCCAATGTACCCCGGCAAACTGCAGAACTCCAATCCAGTGTCAACAAGCCATGGAAACTCACCCCTAATTTGTTTAACAAGATTTCAGGGTTTATGCATTCTTATCGAGGAAAAAGGATGGTTTCCAAGGTGAAGGATAGAACTGTTAGATTAGAAAAAATTCTTGGTGAAGGAAAGCGGTTATTAAAAGGAATTCCTCATGAAAGAACGCAGTCTGGCCTCCAACGCACATTAACTACGCCTGGTACCATTCTATCTCTGTTTGAATTTGCTATTTTTCTAGGTTTCTTTCTTTAAGCATTTACATCGGGAGAGAGTCATCATCCCAT